CCTTTCCCCGCCTTACCCCCCCCGCCTTCACCTTTCTCGGCCTTTTGGCTAAGATCAAGTGTAGTATCTGTTCTGATCAGTTTAATATCTGATCCGTCGCACATCGGGGCACTTAAAAAAATAATAATAATAAAAAATCTGCCACCTTCCTTTCCCTGCCCTCCCGCACTTTGCCCCGCCTTCCCTCCAGCGCGTTCCCCCGCCTGCCCTCCCCTGCTATCCCGCGGCCTGCCTTCCTGCGCCCCGACTTGCCGCACCTATGTTCTCTCCACGTAATCGGTCATTTTTGAAACTGACTGATTACGTAATCGGTCGTTTTTGTAACCCGTCAGTTTGTTTTTTTTCTTTTTCTTTTTTTTTTCTTTTTTTAAGCCCAGGTTGTTGTAGAGGTGGGATACTAGACGGATGGCAGTCACCCACAGTACTCAGCCACTCAGTTGTCCAGATGAACCCCTTCTAAAGACCCCACCCACCCTTCCTCTCATCTTTTTGCCCTGGCGCACCCCCACCCCCCCTGTCCTACCCTAGTGTTGACCACCCAGGACCATCACCCATTGGCATCTTGGCGGGGTGACCTGACCAGACTGTCACAGCGGTTGCAGGCACCGGGGCTAAGCATAGACTCCTACCCCCTGCTCAGCCCCGGTTGAAGCAGACGCTGTGCAAGCCTGATTGCACGGGGACTTCGGGAGCTAGGTACGAACATGCTATTACAGGTCTTCATGAGGGTGCACAGTGACTCCCATCTAGCTTAGTTGTGTTGTGATGATAGAGAGCTGGGTATCCTCCGTTCCCTCGTATGTCCCTGGAGCCCGTTCCGGCCCCGCGGTAAGGTGCAGTATTTCCTGACACCCCGGACATCCCGTACTAAGGAACTGCTATGCCAGCCTCAACCGTATGCTACGTACTAGGAGGATAGCCAACCCTAGGTCATGAGTTATGGACTGAGTTTCTTATCCTGATGTTGTCTTACTACAGTGTTCTATGGTGTTGATGGTAGAGAGATGGGGATCCTCCGTTCCCTCGTATATCCCTGGAGCCCGTTCCGGCCCCGCGGTAAGGTGCAGTATCTCCTGACACCCCCGACACCCCGTACTAAGGACTGCTATGCCAGCCTCAACTCTAAGCTACGTGCTAGGAGGACAGCCCACCCTCACAGGCGGGGCAAGGCGGGGGAATGTGCGGGAGGGAAGGCGGGGCAAGGTGCGGGAAGGCAGGGAAAGGAAGGTGGCGGATTTTTTTATTATTATTATTTTTTTTTAGGGCCCCGATAGGCGACGGATCAGATATTAAACCGATCAGAACAGATACTACACTTGATCTTAGCCAAAAGGCCGAGAAAGATGAAGGCGGGGGGGAGGGGAAGGCGGGGAAAGGTGG